GGACACATACTGTGAGCACCCGCCTGTGGTTGTCACCGCATGGGGGCCACACAGTAAAGTGATGAACAACCCCTGCCTGCCTGCCCCTCCCCTGTTAGACGCATCCCACGCCTGTGTCCTCACTGACTCAGGCTCCTCTGGAGAACACCCATGTCTGCTTTCCCTCTTCCTCTGGGGTTTGCACATAGTGGGCTCAATACCCAGGGATTCAGTGGAGTTAGACCATACATCCGGACCAGTTGCACAAAGAGAACGGGGTAGAGGAACTCTGATTTTGACTTGGTCTAAAATTATTTCTTGGCCAATACTCATTTCATGTTATTACTGAAGTGTTGGGGAAAAGAGAATTTTAATCATTTGGAATAGTGAGCACTGACCCGTGGGACTGGATCCCTCCGATTAAATTTAATCACAGAACAACAGAGTAAAAATAAAAGTGGTATTATTGTCCTTTGCTCCTAACAATCAACAGATTCAAAGTAGATTTGCTGAATCAAATGAACATTAATGACTTACATTTATATATCGATTTGCAGCTTTCAAAGGATTTCAATTCTCAGTTTAAATGGAAAGAACACTAGAGTACCAGCATACTCAGATTCTTCTTTCTTTCTCTCTCTCAGAGAGAGAGGACAAGCAGGGGTGGGGGGCAGAGGGAGACGGGGAGAGGGAGAATCTTAGCAGGCTCCATACCCAGCACAGAGCCTGACTCAGGGCTCAATTTCTCAACCCTGAGATCATGATCTGAGCTGAAATCAAGAGTCAGATGCTCAACTGACTGAGCCACCCAGGCTCCCCTCTTCTTTTTTGATATATGGAATAAAGCTTTGAAATTAATTCTGCTTTGGGAAATGTTTTACCTGGTTTGATTATCAAGAAATTTTTGTTATAGCTGTCCAAGAACCTCTGGTAGAGTTTTCACTTCTCACTGAAAATAATCAGTAGTGAGAAGAAATTTTCTCAACACAATACCTTTCTGTTTATTGTAACCTTTAATAAATTAGCAGTCATCCTCCTGTGGTGAATGTTGCAAGTACCAGGCCTATACACCTTTGGCCTGTCACCCATCCCCTGGTGAACTCCATCCAATTGCCTGTACCAGTGTCTCTTTGCCAAGGGTTTTCTTTTTCTTTTTCTTTTTTTAAAAAATATTTTATTTATTTATTTGACAGAGAGACACACAGCGAGAGAGGTAACACAAGCAGGGGGAGTGGGAGAGGGAGAAGCAGTCCTCCCGCCGAGCAGGGAGCCTGATGCGGGGCTCTGGGATCATGACCTGAGCCGAAGGCAGATGCTTAATGACTGAGCCACCCAGGCGCCCCTGCCAAGTGTTTTCTATGAGACTGTAGAAGGTAGGAGGGGCTGGAATGTTCACATCCAATACCCTAGGACCAGCCTTCAACCAATGACTGAAAGGAGTTGATGTACAAATACCCCAGCCTCTGTGGTGAGCTCATCTATGTTGGGAAAATTCTGGCATGCATGTTGAACACCATCTCCTGGATTCCCTAGCAGGATCGAATTCAAGCTGCTCCCCATGGTAACTTTGATAATGCACTGTTTATTGGATGCCTTCCCTTCTATATTCCCCATTCTATCCTTGCTTCTGAGAATCACCTCCCAAATAAGCTACTTGCACTCTGACCCCTGTCTAAGAGTTTGCATCTGGAGAAACCCAAAGCACATGTCACTAGAAGGGCACTAGTCAAGCTCATTACATCCAGGCCATTAAGTCACCTAACAAGGTGTGACGCCACCTGTTAATCCTTTGCTCAAACAATTTTTGAGCTTATCACCATCCACTGATTTCATTGCTCTCCTGGGCAGCTCTACTCCACTTGCCATTCTCATTCTGTTAGTTATAGTGTAAAATTTTTAATTAAAAATGAAGATAAATTTGGTTAGTAGCTTCAAAGTTGTCACTCTCAACTCCACACAGGGCGAGAGAGACACTGACTGGAGCCAACCAGTTGAGGTTCAGGTTCTCTGCTGAGAAATTAAGAAGGAGATATTTGGATGTTGTTTTCTCATCTGTACCAATGACCTGGAAACACTTCACAGCCATGTGTAATTATAGATAATTTTTTGGTAAGGTTCCAAGTGTTTGATAAATGCCGAAGACTCGGACCTTCCTCTGGATGGAGGCTGTTTTGTACAGAGCTCACATTGCCCGTTCAATTCTTTGGTGACATCTAGTTTAAGTTTAGGGGAGATGGTGTCATCTCCTCCACATCCCGGCCAAATGGTCATTAACCCTCCCCTTGACCATTTTCAGATATGGAGAACTCATTATTTCTTCGGAGAGCTAACTCCTTTTATTTATTAGCCTCAATCATTGGACAGTTCTTTAACTGAACTACACTCTTCTTCCCACAGCTGTCACCCAGGGGTGGGGATTTTCTTGGGAGAAAGTACTGAACGAGTTGAATGTCTCATTCCTCATGGAGAATTTGAAATATTTGAAAATGTATTTGAAGTGCCTCTTAGTTATCTCCCCGCCACCCCAGTTTTTTCAGCTCTTCTTAGCAGGTTATGGTTTGGAGTCCCTCTACCATCCTTGTCACTATCTGACATTCTTCGTCTTTGAATGAGATGCGCATTGGAAGCAACATAGTTGTCCAAGAATTGAGGATTAGAATGTTCAAATAAATTACAGCATGAGACAAGACTATGTAGCCCCTATAATCATGTTTTGAAGAATATTTAGTAATATAAAAATGTTTATGACATATCAAGTGGACGGGGGAGGAAGCTGTATATGCAACAGAGCCCAATTTTATTAAAAAATATTCACGTAGAAGTGGAAGTCTGAAATATGTGAAAATATTAAGAGTGGTGCTATGGGCAGGTTTTGAATCTATTTTGTGCTTTCCTGAATTTTCTACAGAGAAAATGTATTTATTTTCTAATTAGAAAAAAATTTTTTAGAATGAAACAAAAAAAAAGAAAGGAAGAAAGGAAGAAAAAGGAATACAACAGTCATAGAAGCCATAGTGCTGTTCAGGTATATTCTGATATTGCTGATTTGAGGGGAGCTGGCACCTCCCATTTTGGATGCTTCATTTTCCATTTTCAGATCAGGGTTTTTGGCAGATGTATCACGCTCTTGATTAGCGTAGAACCTGTAGTTCATCAGAGCCCCAGAAGATTATTTTCCCACTCGAATTACTATCTTTTTTAAATCTGATAACTGGCATTGGGGGCAGCCTGTCACAGATGCATGTGAGCTGGGTGGGGGTAAGGGAAGGATGCCCAGGTCACTCTCTGTGTAAGTAGCCTCAGGTTGTTTCCATAGTGTAGTGATTATCACCTTCACCTGACATGGAAGTGACCTGCATGGGGGCTGGACCGGCTGGAGGGCGGCCATGCACTGTGAGCTTCCAGCCTGTCTGACGGCTGCTGCAACCTTGAAGTCCTACAAGCTGTAAGATGTGGTAACACTGGTTTGTGAAAGTGAACAGCACCCTCTTTGGCTGCTGTGCAAGGCGCTGGGTCCTGGAGATGGTAGGACCCCTGTGCAGCCTGTAAAAGAATATACATACTTCTGTGCAGGGAGCAGCCTGGTGAAGATGAACCTGCCAGCCCTACAGGCTCTTATCCCTTGGCCATTTCTTCCTAAGGAAAAGCGTCTGGGTATCAGAGCCTTGGAGCAAACGCAACACACGCATTTCTCCAACTCCCCTTTTGGGGAGGCAGAGAGAGGGTCATTGGAGAAGGTGGTCGAGGCCCTGCATGGGGCAGTCCCTTTAAGAAAGCAGAAGGAACGGCCGGGTGGACAGCTCCACGGTGCCTGCAGTACAGGAAGAAGGTCCCAGAGACAAGGAGGGATCTGCTTCTTCAGACCTGCAGATGGGCACTGTGGCAGAACCTATAACTCACGGGCAGTTTCTTGTCTTCTCTATAGAGGTGGATTCTCATCTCTGAGAATAAAGCTTTGGTTTAACTTCTGTCATTTCCTTCTTAGGGGGCATACTGGCTGGACAGTGCCAATCATTCATTTAACTTTATTATTATTATTAATTATTATCATTATTAAAAAGATGCTTAGTGCAACATATACTCTTCTAGATTTATAAGACCCATGAAGTATATAGTTCAGCAGATTGGTGCTTTGTTCCCTGATGCTTAACGCAATAAACAGATGGAAAATCTCTGTTCTCTCTGCAATGTGCATGCGCACACCTTCCAGGACAAATGAATGACCCAGAATGTTGAACTGACAACACTTCTTAGCTTCTCTCTAATGAAGTCCGTATTCTCCTTAATATGAGACTCTTAAGCTAACTAAAGTAAGATTTAAAAAAAGACTTCAACCTGAAGGTTACGGGAGAAGTATAGCTTAGTACGAACAGCAGTGCTTGGCTGGTATACTCCCTGGGGTGAACATAAAGCAATCTCTCATGTTGAAAGCGTTTGCAGGTTTGGTCAGGAAAGCAGTGTGTGATTTGCTAGGTAAAAAGTTAGAGTGTGTGGATCTAGCTCAACAGCGTGTATCCTGATTCTCTGCGAATATGTCTTATTTGTCAAAGGATACCGTATGGTAGACTCAGTGTTGCAGGGGAAAGTCGGTGTGGGGTGCTCATAAGCACAGACAGTAAAAAAAGATGACGTCCTTGCTTTGGTAAAGCTATGGTTGCGATGCAAGTGGCCCCTCTTTTTGGCTTTTTGTCATTGGTTTTATCCAGCAAGAACCCAAATGGCACATTTCCACCCTTCAATTCAATATCCTCAGCTAGCGTTGATTAAGCAAAGCTTGCCAAGGCTCTCTCTTCTTCACCTCTCCCTTTTTTCTGGGCTTGCGCTTTCAGACCTCAAGTCTCCTGATTGTCTTCTCACAAAGCCACCACCATTCCATGCTGCCAGGCCCCAGGCCCTGTCCCTTTGCTTCTGGTCTGAGCTGTGGCTCCAGCAAGATGGGCAGTTCGAGCGCCCATGAGTGGGCTTGTATGCATGTGTTTCTGTGTGTGTGCGCCCTCCCACCCAGGTCAGTTTGTACTTACGTAGTTCGAGGCCAGGTCCGGGTGCAGATAGTCAATCCCTGTGAAAAGAACACCACAGGATGGAAGGTTAATACCTGCCACTGTGTCCTCAGGGAAGTTGCTCAAGAAGGCACCCTCCTATGGGGCTGGTGCCAGGAGAATGGGGTGGGCTGAGCACGTATGCCTCAGGCCCAGCCCCGTGTTTCCATTCCCGAATGAGGGTGGGCCATACCTCCCGAGTGGAGAGACAGCTGCCACCAGACACATCAGAGGAGTGAAGCCAATTAGAGCTGGGGCCCCAGGAGAAGACTCTGACATGCATGTCCGTACTAAGGGGTTTAGTGCCTGCAAGATGGATGGCGCATCAGAGCAGTGATCTAAGATTTGTGGAAATCCTGACACTTTCAAAGCATCAACTGGCATTTCTTCTGAAATGAAACTGGCCAAGGGAGGAAAAACAATTATCATTTAACAGGTTTCAGACAGCAATGGATTAGGGGAGCGTTCTCTGGCATGGAATAAGAAGAACACGGCTGGGTGGGAAAGGCAATTTTGCAGAGGGCAAATGGTTTCCGGTGAAGTGTCCTGGGTGAGAGCTGATCTTGTCCTTGCAGAATATAGCTTTCCAGGGAGCTTGTGACCTTGAGCTTCCCTGCAGGAGCCATGTGCTTTCTCCTGGATGTGGCCCATCTTGTTGACCAAGAGTCTTTGCAACGGTAGAGTTAGGAGCACCACTGCATTCCATTGCCCTTGAGGCCTCAGAAAGCACCATGGAACTTCAAGGCCATATTGAAGGCCATGCAGCCCTTCGCAAAACCAGCATCTCCTGGTGTCACGGTCACGAACATAGGTTTTGGAATCAAAGACCCAACCTTGCCGCCGCCAAGTGGCTGCATGACATCAGGTGAGGTGCTTGGCCTCTCTGCGCTTGAGCAGTGAGGTGCGCTTAGCTCAGTGGCATTTACTAGCTTTACTGGATTTGCCGTGTTTAGAAGCTAGGGGTATCATTCAATCCCTCTGATAGGTGGCATCTTCCATGCGAGTAAGGCCTGGCCGCAGATATAGCTTTGCCCCGCAAAGAAGAACTAGTATTGGGATGTTTCAAAAAAAATTTCTGGTTACACAAGAAATTTCTGGACTGGGAGTCATTGTTCTATAGAACATATGTTACATTTCATTGCTGATATTTTGACATGCAAAGCATGTCAAATGACTGCTGCCATTCATGGCTGCTTTCTGTAATTTGGGAGAGTATAGCCTGTCACTTCCCATCCACCCTCCTCCTCCCCCACACCCCCTCCCAAGGACTGCAGAAGGACAGGGGTCAGAAGATTTATTTGAGACTAGTATTTTTAAAGGTTGCCGGCTTGTCCTGGACCCTAATTCCGAAGTGGTCTGTTTCAGCTGTGGGAAAGGTTGGGGATGAGCACAGGCTACAGAGACCACCAGATCCAGTTCTATTCTAGACTCAGACACTGTAATAATTGTGAAGCTTCAGCCAAGTGACATAATCTTCCTGAGCCTCAGTTTCCTTATCTTTGAAATGGGGATATTATTTATCTTGCAAAGCAGTGTTCAAGATGAGGGCCAATTCATCTAAAGTGTTTAGCTTATAGTAAACACTTGATAAGTTATATTTATTACTGTCACCATCGGTCACAACATCTACCACATCATTAGAGTCATGTGGATAATGCAGAAGAGCAGAAACATTTTCAAAAATCTACTGGGTCTAGAATGTTGTGTTGAAATTAAATTGTTGTACGTATTTGTTGAAATTGGTTACATTTTGTAAACTCAATGTTGGGGGAAACATTTTGTAACATATAGATAAGTTAAAAACACACCCACAGGGTGCACAGACAATATGTTTTTTTCTAGCAGGGAATCAATTTTTTTGGACATAATTATACTCGTTTATTTATTTTTTTAGTAATCTCTACACCCAGCATAGTGCTTGAACTCACAACCCTGAGATCAAGAGTCACGGGTTGTACTGACTGAGCCAGCCAGGCACCCCAGCACGATCATCAGTCTATTCATGTTTGCAATGTGTAAGAAGATTGTAATGCGTGTACATACACACCTAAGTCTTGGGAAAGCCAGGTACAAGCCACCTGCACTGCCACTCTAAGGTAGAAGCATTCAGTGCACACAGTCTCAGGTGATACCCGCCCCCCTCCCCCAACAAATCAAGCTGACTTTAGACACTTGGGTATTTCCCCCTAAAAGGTGTACCCTTCCTGGAAGTACTGCAATACCAGGTTGATGCATGGAGTGGATGGCGCAAGCTCCTAGTTCATGCAGTGAGTCAATTTTTTAAAGATGACCCCATGTTCTGATAGTGCAAGTTGTCTGGGAGAGAAATTTTCTGAGAAATAATTGTCTATTCTCTGCGAAGGTAAAATATCAAGGCAAATAGATAATTTGAGACCTGAAGGAAATTAAAATTAAAACAAAATAAATTTAGCCCAACTAAAATAAAGGATCTTTAATTAGGTTAAGGGGAAGACTGGGGAAGACTGAGTGTTAAGTTGGGACAGACGCAGACTTTGGTCTGAGAAAGAAGAGATTATTGATAGAACCATGGGGAATGACAGACATGACTCAAAAAAATATAATGAACTAAAGCATGAAATTAATGGCCTGGTAATTAAATAGTATTTTAATATTTTTGTCTATTTGATTATCTTTTGAGGTGGAGTGTACTAAATACATTTTCTCAATCAGCTTATTTACTTTTAATTTTTGTATTATTAATGTATTCAATTTTATTTTGCACTCACTGGGTTATTTTCAGCAGTGAACACCAGGCACGATGCAGGTCCTAGAAAAACAGGCTATTTAGACACAGAACCTGAGCTGTTCAGCTATCTATGGCTCCCAGTCTACAGGGGGGATCAACTCATCACCAGCCAATCATAATGCAAATGGTATGCAAATGACAATTACTTGGTTAGAATTTACATTAATATCCCATCATCAATTTGAGTCTTTTCAGAAAGTCTAATCCACAATAGTCCAAATTCTCAGGAAACTCTGATGATTCTGGAGATCTCAGAGAATTAGCAAGGAGCTCCATGCACATATTCCTAGTTATAATGTTAGTAATTCAGTTGAGATGTATAACTATACCACACACCTTTTCTGGAGGTAGGTCTGTTCTCCCGTCTTCAGTCTGAGTGGGCTATGACTACTTCTACCAATAAGTTGTTGCATGACTTTCAAGGCTAGGTCAGAAGAGGTCAGGCATCTTTCACCTGTTCCCTTTGGACACTTGTCCACTCAGGGGGTGAGGTGGGGTGGGGAGGTGAATTCAACTGCCATGGAAGAAGCCCATGAGTGGCCCTTGGTACGAAAGCCTCAGCTGAGCCGCAGCAGCCATCAGTGGTCAGCCTTGGGAATGAGCCGAGAATGTCTACCCCAGTTGAGTCTTCAGATGACTGCAGCCCAGCCAACATTCTGCCCTCAACTGCATGAGAAACCTCAAATGAAAAGTGCCCAGACTGGCTCTTCCTGAGTTCCTGTGCCACAAAATTATGAGCAAAACAAATATTTACTATAAGCTGCTAAGGGTTGGAGTCATTTATTATACAATAATAATACTGGAACAGATACCCCACTAGTCCTTCTGAGACTGGTGAAGCCCAAGTTAGGGGAGAAAACATTGCTTTTCTATGTGATGCAGACTTCTAACTCTCTTGGGAGGGTAAGGCTGACTGCCTGGTCCTTAGGCTTGGACCTCCACTTACAAGGATGAGATCCCATTCACAAAGACCCACCAGGGAGGCAGAGCCAAGGCGTGGGCTTCAAACACTGAAGATGATGGTTAAGATCAGTTTGAGTAGTTTCTTGCCTCCCTAACCTTGGTTTCTTCATCTGCAACATGTGGACAATAGCACCAATCTTAGAGGATAATTGTGACTGTTTCCAAATTGTTAGGCAGTACCTAGTATATAGTGAGTACTCAAGAAATGTTAGTTTTTTATTAGATTTTATTTATGTATTTGTCAGAGAGAGAGAAAGCACAAGCAGGGAGAGTGGCAGGCAGAGGGAGAAGCAGGCTCCCCGCTGAGCAAAGAGCCCTATGTGGGACTCGATCCCAGGACCCTGGGATCATGACCTGAGCTGAAGGCAGATGCTTAACAACTAACTGAGCCACCCAGGTGTCCCAAGAAGTGTTAGTTTTTATTGTTACTTCAGCTTGAAACTCTCTCTGACCCTGCTTCCCTGGCCTTCAGTCTTACTTCCTTGGCATCATCTGATGGACTAAAGTCCTTGATTCATGCCTTCAGTGACCAACTTTGACCTTGATAGCCTGCACCTGTCCAGAATTGTGCCTGTGCTGGGTGGCTTCTACCCATCTCCATGTTTTGTTTGCCACATCCTATTTTCCAGTTCAAGTTCCCAACAGCAAACAACCCTATCTACAACAAAAGGGGTGACTTATTACCATTAAGTGGGTCCTTGCTGACATCTCCATGCCTGGAACAACAGAGCAAACCCTTAAGAAATGCTTTCTGCCTCTGTGGGCAAAAGCTAACCATGGAGGTACTCTCCTTCTGATGTGTAGTGTGTGGAAATGACATTAACTTGCACCTACATGAAAGCAGCAGATATTTATTGAGCATGTATTGAGTCATTGGATCTAGCAGAGAGGATGTTGGTCCAGTTCTGAGTTGTGCAACCAGAGAGTGTGAATGGCTATTAAAACAGGGCTGTCTATAGATTGACTCTCCCACATTCAGATAATCAAATTATTTCCTGTAGAGGCCAATTAAAGAGAACCAATGATTAGAAAATATGATATTGTTTTTGCTCTTAGGTGTGAAGGTCAGTATCTGTGTGTGTCTTTACCTTGTTTGGTGATGATATCTTACTGAGCGAATATCTGGGAAACAATACTACACCATTTACTGATGCTCCCAGCCTCACCATCACACTTCCTATTCTAGGTGTTAGGGCAGAGATGCCTAATGACACAGTGTGAGGCTGTTGACCATTGTCCCTGTTGTGTGGGAGGCCACTCGTGTCCCAAATGTGCTCATCTTGACATTCAAAAAGGGATTTGGAGAGCGGCTTGGTAGTTCTCTTCTTCAGTTATCACTCTGAATAAGCATGTGCTGAATTAAAGCCAGCCACAAATCTTTTGTTTAACTCTGCACCAGGATGTGGAACCTATTCCTCCTCCCCTGGAATCTGTGCCTGAGACCATTCATCCAATAGAAGTGGCTGAGTGATGTTTGCTTGTTCCATGTCTGGCCTATAGGAAGAGTGGCAGCTTCTGCTTCTTGTCCCTTAGAGTGACTGTTCTTGGGACCCCCCCAGCCATCTGTAAGAAATCCAGCCACCTTACTTGTGAGACCACGTGGAGAGAAGAAGTCCTGGGACTACATGGAGCGGGAGGGAGACTGAGCCATTTTAGCATCTCAGTTAAGCATCCAGTTGACATTGGCCCCGGCTACATTCTGACCCCAATGGCATGAGAGACCCCAGGGAGACCAATAGCAGAACTTTCCAGCTGAGCCTGATCACCCCACAGAACTGTGAGAGATAACAACATGGTGGTTGTGTTAAGCCACTCAATTTTGGGATAGTTTGTTCTGCAGCCACAGATGACCAAACAAATAGAACTTTCTGTGGTGATAGAAATGAAGTTGAATTGAATTTTAGCAGCCGCTAGCCCCTTGTGGCTATTGAGAACTTGAAACAAAGCTAGTGTGACTGAGGAATTGAATTTTTAATTTTATTTAGCTTTAATTGATTAAAACTTAAGTGTAAATAGCCACATATGGCTAGTGGCCACTCCACTGGACAGTGTGGATCTGGAGAAGTAGATGGTAAATTCAGATGGGTTTAGAAGATGCTCTAAGGTAAGGTACAAGCCATGGCCCAATAAGAAATGACAGTTCAGTGATGGCCAGTCTTCCTTTGTTCATTTTTTTGGCTTTTTAATTTATTAATTAATAAAATAGTGGAGGAGTTGGGAGCTTAAATTGGGGGGCAGAGAGTTCGGTTTTGGGGGATTCCCAAAGGCCACTAAATCAGAAGAAATAATATCAAACAAGAAAATGCTGAGACTTTCTTTTTGAAGGACTTGGCTTCTCAAGCCAGGAAAGGTGGGTCAGAGTCAGGGCTCATCCTTCCATTTTCCCTTTTTGGAAGGGTTGATACACAGTCAGTCAGGAGCTACAGTTAAAGAATCCAGAAATAAGCATCATGGGCTGTTGGGTTTCATAAAAGCAATATGCCTGTCTGTGGCCACTTTTAGGGTGCTCCTCTAATCCCCCAGACACTGTGTGATTGCAATATATCCTAGGCAGATTTCCCCCAAACATAGATACATTTTTCTCCCAGGTGAGCTGGTCTTAGCCACGTTGGTTTCCAAACCAAAGCATTAGGAAGGAAGAAATGGTTATAAGCTCCCAAGATCCACGTGTATACACACGCTTTCTCCTGCAGAGCTCCTTTCTTCTTGTGAAAGCCCTCAGCCACTGGAGAAAGCTTTTACATCCACTTCAAAACATCTCTCACATCAGAAAACATGAAGGCATTGTTTCTATGTGGATATTTAATGAACCCACACAAAAGACAGCACCAATTTTAAGCATGCTGGCTCCCTTTGTTTCACCACCAATTCGTCTTCAAAGGCTTGCTCTGGAGAGCATAGTGTTCTTTGAGGATCTTCAGAAGGGAAAAGCCCATTGTTTCATCTCATACATAGGCTTTATGTATAATTGCATCAATACTGCTTAGTGGAGCTTTTCCTGGAGGATCCACATGGCTGATGAGGGGCAAGAGGACCTGCCCAGTGAGATGACCACTGGAGAGAGAGTCTTCAGAATCTTGGCAGAGCCAAGGATATGTGTAGTTAGAAAAATATCAGTTCCTCAGACCCATTGGTTTTTGTATCACAAACTATAGAAAATAAAGCTCTACTAAATCTTTGTCTGGTAGGCATATGGGGTAGAATAACATGTTATAGAGGGCATATGTAATAAGAGGTTATCAAGGTCTGCTTTACCAGGGTTCATCCTGAAAGTAGCAACAAAGTCAAAATTTCTCCAAACTCCAATCCTATTACCAAAAAGCTATTTCATCGGTGTAGAGCCACACTGTCTCATAGAACTTTCTGTGATGATAGAAATGAAATTGAATTGAATTTCAGCAGCTGCTAGCCCCTTGTGGCTATTGAGAACTTGAAATGAAGCTATTGTGACTGAGGAATTGAATTTTTAATTTTATTTAGCTTTAATTGATTAAAACTTAAGTGTAAATAGCCACATATGGCTAGTGGCCACTCCACTGGACAGTGTGGATCTGGAGAAGTAGATGGTAAATTCAGATGGGTTTAGAAGATGCTCTAAGGTAAGGTACAAGCCATGGCCCAATAAGAAATGACAGTTCAGTGATGGCCAGTCTTCCTTTGTTCATTTTTTTGGCTTTTTAATTTATCAATCCAATAAATATGTATTAAGGGCATCCTCAAGTTTGAGGACCACTGATCTGGAGGAAGGGGAGGATTTTGCCACAGTATAGATGATGGTCGGGTCCAGCAGGTGGTTATTCTGCCTTTGATTAGCATCCCCCAAACAATGAATCTTTTATATTCCAAAGGCATGCAAAGACACACTTACTTCTAAATGATGTGAAGGCTTTGAAATACTTACCATCATCCATAATTCCAATGGTAACACCTTTCCCTGTGTATCCCAGCTCCCAGGCTTCTGCCACATTCAAATCAAGGCCAGGAGTGCCATCAGCTTGTCCAGTATTGATCTGGTTCAGGAATTTCAAAGCAAAGAATCTTATTAGTCTGGTGTAGTAAAGCACCTGTGTGTTTGCACCTGCTATTCCAGGGCCGGCTCAAAGACCACGTCTTCCATGAAACAGTACTCCTGAATGTTTCCCCATCTAACTCTTCCAGACTTCTCCCTCTGTTTTTTGATACACACCACTGATGTTTCTGTGACGTGATTGCTGTCTTTAAACTCCTTAAAGTTGCCATTGCAAGAAACCTTCCCCAGTTTTGAATTAAACCTCACTCTTGTAGTCTTTATTTATACCTCATGTTTTGAATTTAGCACATACTGTCTTGGATCATTCTTATCTGAATGTGATTTCCTCCCTCAAGACCAGTATGCTTTGCAAGAGGGAGCATGTCCTACTTACCTGTGTAATTTCAGGGCCACTTTACCAAAATATTTGATGCACTAAATCAAAGATAGCTGGCTCACTTTTAGTGCTTGTTCTAATGCAAAAAAAGTCTTTTCCATAAAAAAATTCAAAAAAGGAAAACAAAGAAATTCTATATAAATATGTTTACTACCCTCTTTTCATGCATCTTTGTCCTGTGCAGATTTTCTCAAAGATGAGTCATAAAAACAGTGAAGTTAGAGCTCATACTGCAGAAGCACACAGTGACCTGTTGGCTATTACTATGGTGTTGCTAAAACACTCTGTGAATGTCATTAGTGTGCTTGGTAAAAATGACTGCTCTTTTCCTTCCACGCATGCATTAAGATTACACCTCTCCATCACCTAGGAAGTTAGTAGAATGCCCACATGACTGATTTGGGCCAATAGAATGTGAGTTCATGTGCCATTTGTCACATCCAGGCAGAAGCCTTAAACGTCAGTGTGTGACCTGCTCCTTCCCCTTGTTGAGGTGCTCATGAAAACGGGGGTTGGGATGGAGCTGGGATGGAGATGGAGCTGGGATGGAGCCTGGGTCCCTGAGGGACTCTGAAGCATTGGACATATAACATGAGTGAGCAAAAGCTTTGATTTGTTAAGCCAAGGTGACTTGGGGGGTTGGTTGTGAGTGCAAGAAATGTAGTCTAACCTGATTAACACACATAAGCTCTTTTCAGTTGCCCAGATTGGAATTGTAGGATTCCATGCCAAAAAACAAAGGACATAGTCAAGCTCGGAAGACCCAAGATAGAAGTTGTGATGCATTCCTATAAACGTCTCAGTCCACAGGGCTATAATTTAGTCTTCTATCTTGCTCATCACCTTTTAGTCTTAAATAAGGTAAAGCATCACTCACAGTTTTACACTAATCCTCCCTTTCCCTCAAGATGCCCTGCAGTTAGGATTGGTTTAGAAGCTTTGGGTCTCTTTTAAATATAACCCAACTTGTCCAAATGGATCATGAAGGACTGCTGGTGAGCCAGATAATAACATTCACTTCACCAGACAGACTGGGTTTCGGGGCCTTGCATCCTCCACCTGAAAAGCCCCATGGATGTGATTCCCTGCCATTACTTTAAGAAGCGCTAATGGATGCTACTTTTGTTGCTTTGGTCTTTGAGCTCTCTTGCTTGTCCCTTGTGAAGTTGCCTAAATCTTTCTCTTATGCCTGTGGTTTCATTATGTCCTCCGGTCACTCTGCCTGTTGAGACCCCTGGATTACTCCCCTCAGACTCTTGACTCAACTTCTACATGATTTTGCAAGTCTTCCCTCATGCATCGGTGTACTTTTTCGGAGTCTGGGGCAATCTGATCAGCATTTGATAGTTGCTTTGACCCTAGAGATCATGGCTATTTAGCAGTTCCAGAAGGAAGCAGAAGGAAGAAAGAGTTCTTTCTCTCTTCATAGAGAACATGATGCATGGGTGCTGATAGAAAATCAATACATATCAAAGGGACAGAAAGGTTCATAGAGTAGGATGCTGGCTGACATCCCACAGAATAATGAGGAAATAGAAATGCATTTTTTTTATCCGACGTCTCAAGATGAGAAATGTTAGGAATAATATGGACATGCTTACCAGATACCACTGCTTTGTAAAAAGAGGGTCATTCATGTTGATATCAATCTCATTAATGTCTCTATACCCCCGCTTCTTTCTGTCGAATCCTTCTTGCTGCAAGGCCATCTTTACCTGGAATGACAATATTGGCATATTACCTGAATATCCACCCGAACTTCTTCTGGAATTCATTTCCATGAATTCAAATTCCATTTGTACACAGGTGCTTTTTTTCTCCGTGGAAGCCAAGTTCATATTATGTACACTCTACACTCTATGATTATTTTCCAAAAGCATTCACTTCTGTCTGTGCTGAATAAATTGGCCTTGGAGATGGCTCACAGTGAGTTTCCTTAAAATGAGAATTTGGTAGAAAAAAGTACTCTCAAGGAAGATAAGGGGGTAGGGGTTGTTAAGGGAAATAAAACAGTGCAATGCTTCTATTAAGTAAAGAAGATTGATGTGGATTCAGGGAGGGGGAGAGAGAGTGAAAACTGAGGGGATCATTTTTCAGAAGGGTTTTCCAGCCTTTGCATTTGTTGAGAGGATTGTGCTATCATATTTGGGAATCAGCCAAAACCAAAATCAAGTCAAACCAAAACAAACCAAAACCCAAACCAAAAGAACACTTGCCTAGAGAGCCAGCTAGTTCATATCAAAGCTCTAGAAGGTAAGCGAGGGATCTTTGAAAAGAAAGGGCTGTCCTGGCAATGACAGTACTTCAATTTTTGGAAGGTCAGACCGAACCCCAAGCCCTTGGATGAAATGAAACTTAGGAGCTCAATTGTTCAAGCAGGCTTCTGGCAACAGTTAGATTTTGTCCCATTCATGAAATTTTCTTCACTTGGGCAATCACAAATTTATCATCCAGGGGCTGTGGCTCATCTCTGAACAACTACAAACTCGGGAACTATTGCAATGTATAAAAGGGTGTGTGCTGCACACTGATTTTTTTTTTTTTTTTGAGAGAGAGACCGCGTGTGTGAGCGAGCGCAGGGGAGGGGGCACGGGTAGGGGTAGAGGGAGAGGGAGAGAGAGAGAGACTCTTAAGCAGGCTCCCTATCCAGTGCAGAGCTCGATTCAGGGCTCGATCTCACAACCCTGAGATCATGACCTGAGCCAAAATCAAGAGTTGGATGCTTAATGAACTGAGCCACCCAGGTGCCTCTGATTTTTTTAATGATATTTTGCTGCCCAACATCCATTTCTTCTTTTCCCAAGTATCTGTGGTGCATTTGGGGGGTTACCTGGAGTCCACTAAGTTCCGTGTTGGTGGGAATGAAATTTGAGACACCTATCTGCAAAGAAACTGCAGGTCTTTCTGACTCAGAGGTGCCCAGGTGGGTATGGATTTGAATCCTGGGAAAGGGATGTGAGAACAGAAGGAACCCTTGAAGGCTATTTATCTCAGAAGTTCACTCACCAGACTTTCAAAGGTCCTTGGGACAGTTCCACAGCCTGACCAATCCTTCGGCCTCCCACTGATTGTGAACTGCCTATACCATTCCAAGAAATTCTCTTTTGTTTATGTAAGCCAGAACCCGTTTGTGTTGCTTGCACTTGAGAACTCTGATGTGGGAGCAGGGAAGTCAAGAGGACCCACGTCAACTGTGATGGCAGGGAGGGAAGAATGAAGAGAAGAGACCACATATGTGGCTGGAAACCTCCCCTTCCCTCCTGTCCTGAAATGTGCAGGAATGCTGTGGGAGAGTGGTTCCTTACTTCACCCTATACATTGATACAGGCAGACCGGAGGCTCATTAGCCAGAAAAACTCTAATTCTAGCAGAAACTCTGTATGTGTAGAAAAGAGGTGGTAGGTGTGGCATGTACTCTGTTCTTTGGAGGTATTCCAACAACAGATATTCACTGTGGCATATAGCAAGTATTTGGGAGCTGGGATGGATGGACATATGTCTTCTGTATATACATACACAGATGCACACACATATATATCTTTGAGAAGAAGATGCCAAGATGAGGGGCGCCTGGGTGGTTCAGTCATTAAGCGTCTACCTTCGGCTCAGGTCATGATCCCAGGGTCCTAGGATTGAGCCCCGCATCAGGCTCCCTGCTCAGCAGGAAGTCTGCTTCTCCCTCTCCCACTCCCCCTGCTTGTGTTCCTGCTCTCACTATCTCTCTCTCTGTCAAATAAATAAATAAAATCTTAAAAAAAAAAAAGAAGATGCCAAGATGAGATTAAATGTGCAAGGCTTTTATTAGGAGAGAAAATGCAAGAAACTGCTATGTAAGCTTGACCTCGCAAAGGAGAGAGTGAACAAGATTGGGCAAAAGTGTCCTCAACGGCTCTATAGTGTAAGGAAGGCTTGGCAGGTCTGTTGGGGATCCAAAGTTGGCTGTCTGAAGAACCCTGTGTCTCCCAGGGACGAGCCTGCCTCAGTGCCCTTGCTGTGCTCAGTCACTGGCTAGAGCTGCCAGGAAGCATGGCTTCTTGCCAACACAGTGACAGATTTCAGAGTGCAGCAGCTGGGGACCTTGGTCAATTACTCTCCCAGAAGTCAGAGGTATGTGCTGCGTATTCTCACATCTGCCACAGAACAGACAGACAAATAGATCTAGCTAGACACAAACACATGTATGTAAAGAGCCACAGCACATCCCTCTTAAAACTTTTCTCTCACTCAGGAAGCAAGTACTCAAGGAAGAGCAGTAGGGGAAGGAGTCTGAATTCGGTCATCGCATCTTCCCATGGTGGTCCCAAGCAAGACCTTTATCTGCACTACTCACTGACAGTAAGCCTTGGTTGGCTTCCATTGAGGGATTCCCATCATACTGGATTCGTTGTCATGACTGACTTCGCTAAAGTAGCACCGTTCCTTCGCGAGTGTCTTTGCTAAGCAAGAGCAGCTGCCCTGTGGATGCTTGAAAACTCCCCTCTGTGGCTGCTTCTCAGAAGCATAAGAACAAGAAGACTCACACTGGATTTCATCTTTTTAGATAACAGTGCAGGAATGGCTATGACAATAGCACTCCAAACTCAATTAGCCTGAGTGCAGTCTAATGAAAAGACTTTAGAATCATTTCCATAAAATTAATTTTTAATTCCATAAATTAGGTTTTAATGGAGACCAGCGATGCTTTGGAATGCTGCACTTTCTCGACATCACCCCTCCTTGCAACCCAGAAGCACTGAAGCATGATGTAGGTGTCTGTAATCTTGTCATCTAGTGTTACTAAATATTAAAAATCCTAAGACTGCAGGCCTTTCTGAGCTTTTTAGTTTATCTTCATGTCCTTAATGAAGATCACAGTTACAATTCTGAGAGAGAGAGAGAACACCTTTTAAACATACATTTTTACTTGTTACAAATAACTGGAAAATAGTTTTCATCCCCCCACCAATGATACCATGGAATACCATAAATTGCTTTAATCTTTCTGGGTTCTTGTTCAATGTTAATTTGCATTTAAACCTAATTTTTGCATAAAAGTAATTGAGCTATAGATAAAATTATGCTTTCTTTCTTCACTAAGTATCCTACCTTAGGAATTTTAATATGTTGCTCTGTAGCTCTCACAACTTGATTTTTAATAGCTACCTGAATATCCCATAGAATGATGTACCATAATTTACCCAGTGATTTCCCTTTTACTGGTCATTTGGATTGTTTTCTATTATTAATGAAATTGCCATTAGCAGAAAGATGAGATTATAAACTATTTTTAAAGACCTCTGGAGAAGACTTCAGTGTTATAATCCTATGTGTGATAAAGCTGTTAATATCAGAGAAGTATTTCCTAGTGTTCAAATTCCTTCCTCACATTATAACTAAAAGGTCATTTTTACTGTCTCCTCCTCTGAATTGTAATCTTTCACACATGATACCTTTCATTACCACTTCAATGTGGTACCAATGCCATGCAACTTAACCATAGTTTCTTGCCTTCTCAAAAAATAATTTACAGTTAGCTTAGGTATTTCATTTTAGACTGCTCACCCAAATTGGTCCATTGATCTAAACATTTATACAAATAAAAAACATAAGAAAGCAGGAGTGTTTGCTACTGGGAATTATTTTATTAGAAACAAACAGATGGATATTTTGCAATTCTGATTTAACTTTTAAATCTTAGTTTGACACATGTGCATAGAATAAATTTTACTCAAGAGACTCCCCCACTTTCCTTCCCTCTTGTAGTCTTTCTCTTCAATTAAGAATTTTCAGTCAACAAATGTTTCTGTGCATCTACAATGTACCAGTTACACACCATTCTAAAACGAGGCAGATACTATCCCTGCACATTTGCATTCTATTTTACAAGTTTTGTTAACAAGCTACTTTCACTACCTAGAATCTTCTCAAGACGATTGTGGAGAGAGTGTGGTTACAGCTGAGGAAAGGAGGTTTAGTGGCCATTGTTCAGCGGTTGAAAACATGGCGGAGTCACACGGCTGACCAATTCTAAATGCTGTGTACTTTCCACTAAGCCACATTGCCCCTCCCTAAGGTACAGAACACAGTTAACCTTCCAGTATCTGGGACAGCTTAACCGTGAATGTAACTCTCCAAGGATCAGGGCCTGGATTACTTCCCGCTGGGCTGATAATTAAACAGCTGCTAATTAGCATTGACTGTGTGGGGCAGGAGAGGGGCCGGGAGAAAGAGGAGCAATATGGGAAACCTGCCTCCAAAGGGCAAAACAGGTTAGCTTGGAGTGAGCACAAGAAACATAAAACACAAAATTGGCATGTTGGTGAAAATACTGAAATTTTAAACCTATGATGCTGTAGATTGGGTCACACTATTATTTTCTGTACAACCAAGAATTATTTTCTTTACCATTTTCATGAGTTTAATTATATCCCTCTGAAAGATATATTGAAGACCTAACCTCTGGTACCTCAGAATGTGACCCTATCTGGGAAAAGGGTTGTTGCTGATGTAATTAGTTAAGAGGAGGTTGTGCTACAGGAAGACGGTCCCCTAATGCAACATGGCTAGTGTTCTCATGAGAAAAAGACAGACAGACACACAAGGAGAATGCCATAGGAAGACATACGGACACAGAGAGTGAAGCCATGTGAAGAGGGAGGGGGCAGAGGATGGAGTTATTCTACTACAAGCCAAGGAACTTGTGCGTCAACCAGAAGCTGGAAGAGGCAAGGAGAGA